CTACTAGCAGTGGAAGAGTGACTTGCACCAGTATTTCGAGATGTTTGGTGATCCGCAGGTCACTCTCGAGGAAGGTTGCCCAAACGAGCTTGAAGACCGACAAGATAGTTGGGTTTGGCTTTGCGGTTATTTTCAGGAGCCGGGCTATGTGGTGCGTTTTTAATTAGGACTTCTTTCATGTTACTTCTTAAATTTTTTACTAATGTTTATTATGATTTTTTTTATGTTCTTTAAATATTACAACTAATATGTTTACTTTGCGTATAACAGAAGAAGGCGAAGACAAATAAGGGCAATCTGGAAGAAGACTCTTCTTCACCATTCGGTTTCAAAGCCTTTCTCATATAGGATGGAGATGCGCGGAAGGTATATATACAACTTTCATTTCAAATTTTAAAATGTCGCTAATAATTTTTGTTTATGTTTTCGTACTAACATTTTGCTTATCTTTTTCTATTTCATGAGGGTTCAAAATTCCCGGAGATCGACGTCTTTGCTGACGTTTATGTTTAGCCTGGGATGAGTTGACCGAGTCCTTTCATGTAAGTGATTTCCTAGGCATTAAAGATTTATACTAATTATTTCAAATTGTTTTTTTTTATTAATAATCCATGTTTTTTCACAGGAGACTATGGTGGAGAAGGGTTAGTCGTTGCTTCAGGAGTCCGCCTCCCAGCTTCACTTGGACACACCAAGTATGTGGATCCCCCCGAAGATGCAGGCTTTCACATCCTTACCGAGACATTCGACCACACTTTCGGTCAGAGGCTAGGGACATATTGTCGAGGGATGGAAACCTTGGTGATTGAAACTAAAAATAGTACAAGGCATATCAAAGAGGTTATGCTTGTTCCTGATTTAGATAAAAACTTGCTAAGTGTAGGTCAAATGCTACAACATGAATATTTCTTAATGTTTAGAGATGATAAAGTTGAAATATTTAAAGATAGAAGCCTTTAATGACTGTTATGAATGCTCAACAGACTGTACAATTCATTCCTCAACAGACTGCACAATTCATTCCTCAAGACTCATGGATTGTTGATTCTGGTGCATCGCACCACATGACGGCTGATATTGGTTCCTTGTCTCAAGCTACACCATTTGATGGTCTTGAGAAGATAACAATCGAAAATGGTACTGGTTTGTCAATATAGAGTATTGGTTCGACTACATTGCAAACTGATACTCATTCTCTTATTCTTAATAAAGTTTTACATATTCCACACATTGCTAGAAGTTTATTATCTGTGAAGGAATTATGTGTTGATAATAAAAGCTGGTTTATATGTGATGAGATTGATTTTTTTTTTGTGCAGGACAAGAGGACAAGGGAAATAGTGTATTAAGGAAAGAGTAAGCCTGAAGAATTGTTCTAGATTCCAGTGGTCAAGTATGGAAAAGGGTTGAAATGTAGTTCAAGGAATCCAGTGGCATAAGTAGGTAAAACAATAAAGTTTGATGTTTGGCATCAGAGGTTGGGGCTTCATTCCTCTGAGATATTGTCATCAATGTTACAACAATCCAATATTTCAGTTTCTGTACACAGTAGTGATAGTGTCTGTATCCCGTGTATTCAAGGAAAGATATCTAGAGTTCCATTTCCATCTAGATCAGCTAAATGTACATCTCCTTTTGACAAGATCCATACTGATATTTGGGGTCCAGCTCCTGTAAAATCCATAAAGGGATATAGATATTATGTAACACTGATTGATGAATATACTAGATATGTGTGGATTTTTCCCATGTGCAATAAATTAGATGTCTTTGCAATTTTTGTGAAATTCTACAATTTTGTTCTTATACAGTTTGGGATACACATTAAAGCTTTACAAACAGATGTGGGAGGGGAATATACTAGCAAGAGTTTTACTTCTTTTCTTGCAAGTAAGGGTGTTAACCAGCTAATTTCATGCCCTTACACTCCACAACAGAATGGATTGGCTGAGAGAAAACATAGACACATAGTTGAAACTACAATCACTTTGCTTAATGCTGCTGGTTTACAATCTGAATTGGTATTTTGCTTGTGCACATTCAGTGTTTCTGATTAACTGAATGCATTGCAAAACATTGTCCATAAGTTCACCTTATTTCTTGTTGTATAAAAAGGCTCCAGATTTGAAGTTATTGAAGATTTTTGGGTCTGCAGTTTTCCTTGGTTAAGACCCTATAATGCAAATAAGCTCTAGCCCAGGTCTGCTATGTGTGTGTTTCTAGGATATTCAATGGCATATAAGGGTGTGATATGTTTCAACTTACATACAAGGAAATATATAATTTCTATACATGTGGTATTTGATGAGTCTAGATTTCCTAGTAAATTGTATAAACCACAATAAGTGACAGTATCTCATAGTAAAGAATCTCATCATTTCACACCAGTTATTGTTCCACTCCAGTGTCACAAAATCAATCGACCACAAGTACAGAAGCAATGCATGGTTCAACATAGTCTGGACCACAAGTATCTGGAGTAAATGGTCAGTTTCAACATTGCTCTCAGGATGCCATCAGTTCACCAACATCAAGTACTCAGGTTCATAACAGTTCATCAACATATCAATCTTCAACACCAGATTCAGAATCACCTCCTGGCTATACTCTTTCCATTCATCATGATACACCTCCCTTGCTTCTTGTCCTAGATCCTGCACAACTACAGGTAGTTCTTCCCTTTTCTAATTCTTCTAGTTCAATTTCATCTGAGCTAAGACATCATGGTGTACAAACTAGACTTCAAACAGGTGCAATCCAAAGGAAGAACCATGCCAATTTTCTAGCATTACTACCTGAGTTATCATCACTACAACTCATGGATTCAATCTTTGACAATCAAATATTAGATCAGTCTTCTGTTGGTTTTTCCTTCTTGGCTAATATTACTGATATAGAAGAGCCTAAGACTTTTAAATGTGCTTCCAATAAAGTGGAATGGCAACAAGCTCTGCAGGAGGAATTTGATGCTTTAAAAGCACAGGGAACATGGGTCTTGGTACCACCTCCATCAAATAGAGCTATTATTGGGAGTAAGTGGGTGTATAAGGTGAAAAAAGAATCCAGATGGGTCTGTATCAAGGTTTAAAGCTCGCTTGGTTGCACAGGGGTATACTCAAGAACGAGGTCCCGATTATTCTGAGATGTTTAGTCCAGTGGTTAGACATACCACAGTTCGACTTATATTGGCATTGGCAGCATAATTTAGTTAGTCATTGAGACAGCTAGACATTAAGAATGCATTTTTGCATGGCGATCTTGAAGATGAAGTGTTTATGAAACAGCCCCAAGGTTTTGTCGATCTTGAACATCCAGATCATGTTTGCAAGCTGATCAAATCACTATATGGGTTGAAACAAGCTGCAAGGGCATGGAATTCAAAGTTTACCAGTTATCTTCCAGCTCTTGGTTTTCAAACATCACTTTCAGATACCAGTTTGTTTGTCAAAGTTGATAATGATGACATTATTCTACTTTTGTTCTATGTAGATGATATAATCCTCACTGGATCCAGTTCAGTTAAAGTCCATGAAGTAATTAATAACGTGGCATAGGTATTTGATCTTAAAGACATGGGACCACTCTCTTATTTCTTGGGGCTGCATGTACAATACAATAGTGATGGTTCTTTGTTCATACATCAATCTAAATATGCCAAGGATAAGCTGGAATGGAAAATTGCAAGCCAACTTCAACTCCTTCCAAACCTCATACTCAGTTACTTGCAGATGAAGGCAGTTTGATGTCTGATCCAAGTCATTATAGGAGCATTGATGGTGCTCTCGAGTACCTTACTTTTACTAGACCTGATCCTGCACACTCTGTCAACATGGTATGTCAATATATGACTCAACCCACAGATGGTCATTATTATCTAGTGAAAAGAATACTCAGATATGAGGGGACTATTGATCATGGCCTACACTATATAAAGAGCTCCGATTTTCAGATTGTTGCATATTCAGACTCTGATTGGGCTGCATATATCAATACCAGAAGATCTATATCATGATTTGTTGTATATCTGGGGTCTAATCTGATCTCATGGCAATCTAAGAACCAATCAACCATTTTAAGAAGCTCCACAGAGGCCGAGTACAAAGCATTAGCTCATTGTGCAGCAGATGTGTTTTGGGTTCGATCTGTGCTCAAAGATACTTATCAAGTTTTATCAAAGCCACCTGCACTGCATTGTGACAATCTGTCAGCCTTAGCTTTGAGTTCCAATCCTGTATTTCACTCAAAGATTAAGCATCTTGACACATATTATCATTATGTGCGTGAGAAAGTGCAAAAGGGAGATATTAGTGTGCATTATATTCTAACAAGATCAAGTTGCAGATGTGTTTACCAAAGGTTTGCACAGTCCTGTGTTTATCAAGCATTGCAGACATCTTGGTTTGACATCATCAACATTAGGGCAGCAACCTAAGCCTGGCAATGCCATGCTTAGTTTGAGGAGGGAGTAATGGCAATAGCATATATGTGATATTAGGTGTTATAAGGTGGAAAAATGGATCAAGTTAGTTAGAAATAAGTGGGATTATGATAAAGGGTAATGTTGTAATTCTAGTACTAGGAAGCCTACTATAAAGAGGAATTAGTTAGGTAGTTAGATAGGAGCTTGTAATTCTGACTTACACAATATTGGATTAGCTTTCTCTCTCTCTCTCTCTCTCTCTCTCTCTCTCTCTCTCTCTCTCTCTCTCTCTCTCTCTCTCTTTTCTCTCGATCTCAGATATCTTCATACCTTCATTACTTCCTCTGAGTTATGAGTATCATGAAGGGCCTCTTCAAGTGATAGTTCTGGATTATTAAACTCTAATACACCTATGCACATATTATTATACAAAAAAAAATAGTTTCTTCCTCTAAAACTAAAAGAAAACATGTAGTTTCATTTTACACCACTAAAAATATGTGAAACTTTTGCAATTAATCAGGGTTAAAAGTATATATTACATACCATTCTTAGTAATATAAATGAGTGGATCATAATATTTTTCCTTTGTGTAGAGCACAAGATCGTGAATTCCTTTTGGATATACATATAACCAATCTGAAGCAGCCTGCAACACCATTTGAAGATAATACGTAAATGTTGGGGAAAAAAACTAATCCTTCAAATGCAAATAGCTCAAAATGATAAATGTGATATTTACCTGTGGACCAATAAGTGCTCCATTAAGCTTAGCTGCCATAATATTTACAAACATTAGAATACAATTGGTGTAAATATTGGAATATAATTAATGTAATTAAGAAGTTAAACTAGGGCAAGAAGTACCAAGAAAATCAAATGATCCGTTTGCAACTTGGATTGTTCTTTTGTGAATTTGGGCAATGTTTTCCCAACAATTGATCGCATGGTGTGTGGATAGTCACCACTTGTTAATGGGACCAAAAACCTACAAAATATGACAATTCCATAAAATAAATAACTTTCATTTTGTATTTTATTTTTTCAATAAATTGTAAGAGACTTGCTTAATAGTCAAATGAAAACACATTATATACTTGTTCCCTATGTTTACACTATGTTCCAATACTTCATAATATATATTTCATTCTATTTTGTAGTTTATGATGAAATTATATATATTTTAAGTGTAAACGGGACACTTATTTATGACGAAATACAATTATTGTCCACCAAGTCCACCAAGGCGCATAAATTATGAAAATCCACCTAGTCCACTAAGGCGCTTATCTAAGTAATTGTATATTTTATGACAAAATACAATTACTTAAATCCACCTCGTCCACCAAGGTGCTTAGACCCTGCCTAGGCGCCTAGGCCCTAGGCTCCAGCTTGCTGCTCGACTAGAGCCTAACGTTTTTAGAACCTTGCTTGTAAGTGAGAGGTCTTAGATTTGATTCTTGCCAATGGTGAATTTGAACATCATTTTTGTTAGCCCATTGTGAAGATAAGCACACCTTCCCTCCACCTTAGTGTATAGATAATATCGCTTGTTCAAAAAAACAAAAAAAAAAACCATGTAGTCACATTTCTGTCTTCATCAATCAACATTGACTCATGTAAAGTCCTGTGATTGCTGTATCCATTATCTATATACCAAACATGTTCATTCTTGACAGGTGTTGCGGAATCGCAAACAAAGAACATACTAGTGCCTTCTCCCCCCTCCTTGATATAATGAACCAGCTGGACCATTTTACTCCTACAATCTTTGGTAATATGCCCAAAGCAACAACCTAGTCAAATAATCAAACAGAGATTCAACATTACTCATTCTAGCATACTCAAAATCATGACGAATACCTTGTAATTTCACTACCATCACCTGAGAATCGCCTTTGTATTCCTGCTTCAACACATCCCAAGCTTAGTTAAATGTCTTCTGATTTGCAATCTTGAAAAAAAATTTGTCATTCACTGTACTTTGAATTAATCTCAGGGCTTTTGCATCTCTGCAAATAAGATCCTGAGCTACAAGCAATTGCTTCCCATCCATTTGCTTCTCATATGAGGGAAGTTCATAGCCATTTTCAGCACAACCTAACAGATTGTGAGAATTGAAGATAGTCTTCATTGATGCACAAAAACTCATAGTTGACACCAATGAAGGCTGGAGCTCAAAGATCAGCTCCAGATCCAGACATTTTGTTCTTCAATTTACTTGAGCTCTTGGTTGAAAGCTCAAAGAACATTTCACAAATCACGCCATTTGATTCAATTTGAACCAAGCTCTGAGGCCATGTTAGTGTGTTTAGGGGTGATGAACTCAATTTCCAGTAGGATTTAACTAATGAAATCATTGAGAATGTGATCGCTGGATTGCAGAGAAATGGAAGAAAGAAGGTCACCAATGTAATCTCTCAAGAATATATTAACATTGGATTCTCTCTCTTCCTAAAATCTGTTACAAAGAAAGCATGAAGAGCGTGTGATATAGTTGTTTCTAGGCATCACACCTCAATAACAAGGGCACATGAGTTGCACATGAGCAAATTAAATCAGTTATAAAACTAGACATGTGGCAAAATCTACACCATTTAGATGTTATAATCGTGACCATCCATTAGAAACTTTGCAAACTTAAAGTTCAAAAAAATCTTGCGTTAGATTTTTTATATTAGGGAGCCGACAGGGTTTGAACTTGTTGGAAATATTTGCGATACGGATGCTACTTCTCCTACAAAAAATCACATAAAATAATATTAGTATATCACAATTTTATCACCTCAATTTATTAAATAAAATAAACCAAATAAGATAAAATACTTACCTTTTGTAGGTAGAGAACGCTCTTCGTCGATCCTCAATTAGAACAAGATTTTAGGTTGAGGCGTGTAGTCACTGTCCTTAAGAGTAGATTTCACCCCTCTAAGATAATCTCTCAGTATAACAGGTTATGGCACCCTACCCTACAGGATGCAACAACCTATAATCATCGTAAGCGTACACTCGCAATACTTGGATTGTATGAACAACTCGATTTTCCTTTGGCATATGAGAGGTGAAATTATAATAGCATTTGAGAGAATACAATAAATCAAGAGATGTGAGGAAGGTGAGACTCCTTTAATTAGGTGTGGTTTGTAGGAAAGAAAATATTTGAAGTCCAATAGCAAAGGAGCAGTCTAGGTAAAGATCAACATAATCCTTACGGCTTGAAGAGTTGTTTTTATATAGAACATGAGAAAGGTAAACATGATTAAGCATGGTCTAAAAACGTTACACAATATAATTGCGTAATTAATGGGTTAATCAAGATGGCATATTCAAAGAGAAAATGTAATTTATAGCACCAATATTATAACATCTTTAATGCATCAGTTTTTGGTTTGCAAACAAAATTGAAATCAAGATTAAAAGAAATCATTAAGAATGATATTAACATTGTACAATTATCAGAAAGACGGGCCATACGGCCCACTTCCAATAACACCGATACTGTCCCCAACTTGGTAATTACCACCTGCACAATCCGTCAGGTGTGAGATTTTATTACAAAAGGCCTCGATAATAGTTGGAGTGGGGTTAGAATATTTAAACTCTTATTTTCTCATTGATACGGTCGATGTGGGACATTTCAACATGCCCCCTCATGTGGGACCCAATTAGTGGGTCACATGTGGGAGATCCACACTTCGACAATCACAACCACGTGGAGCCAAGGGGACTCACCATACACGCGGGGCCAAGGGACCCACCATCATCACGCGGGCCAAGGGGACCCACCCATCACGTGGCAGTACATAGTATTAGAGCCTAACAAAATAATAAGAATATTATTAAACAAACGAAAATGTCGGAACGGCTACAAAACCCTAATAAGCTACATTGTGACTAGCTTGTTTTCTAATAAATAACAAAACACTCTATTTATAACCCTAACCCTAATGCTAATAGGCTAGGCCCAAACCAAACTTATAAGAAAACTCAAACAAAATAATACCTAAAATACTAATATATTCCAACACCCCCTGTCAAACTCATGGCGGTATACGACATGAGTTTGTAAACAAGCAGATGCGGACTAGCTCCGTTAGGCGGACTGACAGGCATGCAAACTTGACTTGACTTGAATGGCAAACTTGACTTGATTCTTGACTTGACTGGCAAACTGGTTCTGGTTGAAACTGGCTAGTGTTGAGAGTATGGAGAGAACCTGTCACTGAACGAACGAGATTTCCATATATCAATTGTACTAACAAACGAACAACGTTAAAATATTCTAGCAACTCGAGAATTCATTGCGAACGGCAACGGCAGATACCCAAACTTCAAAACAAAGACCTCACAATAGGATAACCATTTTTTTTTGTTGCTCATGTGGGCCTTAAACAAACAGCAAACAATTGTTTTTCTTTTTCCTTCTCTTTTTGCTTTTTTTTTTCTATCCTTTCCTTACTTCCCATTTTTCTTTCTTTTTTCTTTTATGCGAACAAACAACAGAACCTTTCTGTTTTCCTTTTTTTTTCTTCTGTGCAAACAAACAGCAGCAGCAAGATCCTTTCTATTTTCCCTTTTTTTTTTCTTGCAAACAATCAATACCAACTAACAAATCTAAAACGAAAACACAAACAACGGAAGATGATGGAAACAAAACTAATACAAACAAATTGATACCAACGAGAGCGGATTGAACCCTAAGGATCGAACCCGCTCTGATACCATGTAGAATTATCAGAGAGACGGGCCATACGATCCACTTCCAACAACACCGATATTGTCCCCAACATGGTAATTACCACCTGCACAATCCATTAAGTGTGGGGTTTTATTACAAAATGCCTCGGTAATAGTTGGAGTGGGGTTAGGATATTTAAACTCTTATTTTCTCATTGATACGGTTGATGTGGGACATTTCAACAAACATGATCAATGAGGACATGTATTTTGAAATACCCAATCACAAATTACAACAGAACTCACGTCGTGGTGCAAGGGCAATACTCTTCTCTCCCACTGTAGTAGAGGGCCATTTTCAGTTGAAAAACCACCAATTCTAATTTCTAAGAACTGAAACTTGAAATTCCAGACATCCTATTTCTTCATTCTTCCTGTAGCTACAAGACTTATAATTCAACACATTCCTGTGAGTGTTCCGTATTTGTTCATTCAAGTATTTTTCCCTGTTCCCATTATTCGCTGTAAATTATTGCATCTTTCTGCGGTGCCTTTAGTCCTTTGTTGAGTGTAATGGCATGAACTTTGCTCGATCTGGTAGGGTGAATCGAATGAGTGATCCTATTATGTGGCCTGGAATGGCCGAAAACATCAAACATAAAAATGAATAAAAGTATGTATAACAATTTAGCGGTACCCCCTTAACTAAACCTTCGTACAATCTACTTTGTCAATACTTCAAACCTAGCATACAAAGTTGACAAGAAAGTCACTCTTGCATTGGCCAATGTAGTTGAACACACTAGATTCCCTAATCAAAGCTTATTTCATAACCCACAATAATATATGTCAAGGCTCAATAGCAGATGCGATATATATTTCCTCGACAATGGAGTAATATTTGTTTATTGGCGACCTTCATGCTTGATGCAGTTGAATATCAGAGTGCTCTATTTATAACCCTAAAAGATAAGAAACCGAAACTCTAATGCTAACGGGCTAAGTCTAGAAAATCAAACATTCAAATAAACCAAAATACAAATATTTTCCGACACCCCCCATCAAACTCATGGCGGTACACGACATGGGTTTGCCAAAGTAGATGTGGATGCAAAACTCCAAATTCCAGTGCTAATGCCGATGTCAATACCAATGCCGATGCCGATGCCGATGCCGATGCCAATACCGATGCCGCTGCCAATACAGATGCCGATGCCGATGCCGATGCCGATGCCGATGCCAATACCAATACCGATGCCGATGCCAATGCTGATGCCAATACCAACTTCCAAACAAACAATAAAAAAATCCAACCAAATAGACTATATATTTCTTTCTGCCCGTGTGGGCCTTCAAACAAAAAACCAACGTTTTTGTCTTTATTCTTTTCTACTTTCTCTTTTTTTTTTTTTTTTTTTTTTTTTGTAAAATCCCCCTCTTTTTTCTTATTCTTTTTTTATTTTCCCCCTTTCCTTCTTTCCTCCTGTTGGGCCTTTTTTTTCAATGCATCAAGTCTGAACCATTTAAAATCACAATACATTTGTTCACTTGCAAAGATAAAATCACAATCTCCTTGGTGATATAATATGTGGAACTTAAACTCGTCATTAGAACTCACTCATAATGACTGTGCTTTGTGAAGTCTAGTTTTATTGTTTAGCTTCCCTTGTTAAATGTAATCAATTGTACCACACATGTTCTACTTAGATTTAGGGTTAAATTGCAACTTTTGGGATCATGCTGCTGGAAATATCACTTTAAGAGCTTAACTTCTCTCATCAAAGGTTTGTTCATTCATATGTATTTCATGTCATTATTTCCAGTTCATTATGTCTAGTGGTTCTGTGTCGTCAAAACTTCTTGTTGCTATCACGCGAGCTGGGCACACACTTTAAGACAACCCACATGAGCCATCTGACTACTTTTTACCAAAAATGGTTTTTCAGCCTTAGATCTTTCCAGTTTGCTTTTACACACGAAACGTGGTTTTTCTTGTCCTCTGTCTTGTCTAAAACAAAGCCCACTATAAAAATTTAATCTAGGGTTCTTTTCAACTTGGCTAGGAGATTTATATTTTTCTGATTATTCAGATCATTGCATATTAGGGTAGCATAGTTTTCGTGATTTTGATCTTTGTTTTAGGTCAAGCTTTTCTAGTTTCAAATTTTGAGCTGACCGCTTTTTGGATACACATTAGTTTCATCTTTCAAGTGTTTAACTGCTGAAATTGACTGGCCATCAACTTCATCATAACATCATTTGCATAAGTTGATTTGATTTCGGTGTCATAAGATGAAGAGCTCAGGAGGAGCTGCCACTTCATGAAGACCGAAGGAATCCATCTCGTGAAAGCGAAGGTTGCACAAATGTACAAGTTGCTCCATAGATTAGGAATACATTGTAAGAATCTTGATTTCACTAGTGGATTGGACTCAATGGAGAGTCCCCTGTTTTTAACCCTAGAGGTGATACATGATCATCTTGACTTGCATATAGACTTGTCCATGCATCTAAGCTCATCAAGGTTTGCATTTATACTAGACTGGACCTGAGTTAACTAGGGACATTTCTGTAAACCTAGTTTTTTAATTGATTATTTCCGCTGCTGGTTAACTGACAAACGTGATCTTAGTTGACTAGTGTAGATGACTAGCCAGTCAAGCATATATAGAATTTTAATTATAGGATATTCCACTTGGAACCAATTTCATGCTTGAACGTGTGTATTGTGTAAACTCTTCATTATTAATAAGAACTCATCTACCCTCGTGGTTGTAACCCAACTTAAGGTGAACCAGGTACATTTTAGTGTAAAATTGTGGTTTTTGGTTAAAATGAACAGTACCGAGAGTTTTTCGTTAAAGTTCCCTACTAAAAATTACTACTATGTCGAACTGAGTTTTCTTACAAAAGGACCTATTAAAATGATAACTTATTACAATGTGAAATTTATTCCTAAACCCAAACAAGGACCTAAACTTTTTATGACTACAAATAAGTTATTCCTTTATGGCTTATTATACAAAATAGTCCATGAGATTTGCATGATCAATAGAAATGGTCCCTGAGATTGAAAATCAATAGAAATGGTCTCTGAGATTGCCCACCATCCATGATTTTGGTCATTCCGTTAAAAACTCTTTGGGCAATTTTCAAAGCTTCATAACTCAATTGATTATTAACCAAATTTGACCCATAATATATCAAAATGAAGATAAGTGTAGAACAAGGTTATACCTATGTAGAAGCCCAATGATTGCCAGAGATGACCGGAAAATAGCCTAAAAGGTGACTGGTCCGCAGGAAAACTGGAAAACTCGCCGGAAACTGGGTAAACTTTAAATGTTCATAATTTCTTCAATACTCAACGAAATCGAGTGATTCAAAAACAAAAATAATACTTCCTGATGAGATGAAGAGAATGGAATCTTCTTTTACTGCTAAATGGTCGTGGTTTGGCCGGAAAAGGCTCGAAAGTGGCTAACTCGAAAATGGTTAGGTAATTGCGAGCCATTTTTCGACCAAACCAAGGCGAGTTAGCCTTCAAAAAAGGTACCATTCTCTTCATCTCGTCAAGAAGTATGATTTTCGTTTTTGAATCACTCAATTTGGTTAAGTATTGAAGAAGTTATGAACGTTTAAAGTTTACCCAGTTTCCGGCGAGTTTTCCAGTTTTCCAACGAACGAGTCACCTTTCAGGCTATTTTCCGGTCATCGCCAGCAACCATTGGGCTTCCAAATAGGTATAATCTTATTGTACACTTTCTTATCTTCATTTTGATATATTATGGGTCGAATTGGGTTAAGAAACGAATGAGTTACAAAGCTTTGAAATTTGCCCAAAGAGTTTTTAACGGAATGACCAAAATCATTGATGGTGGACAATCTCAAGGACCATTTCTATTGATTTTCAATCTCAGAGACCATTATGTTGATCATGCAGATCTCATGGACTATTTTGCATAACAACCCTTCCTTTATAGACAAGGGTTTTATTGTAGTATTCACAGCTCTTATAGCTTTTTATTGAATTATTGAATCTCAAAGAATGTTTACATTATTGCAAGGAAATACAAATGCAAAAGGAATTGAAATATAAATACATAAAAAAAAAATTATCCTCTTAAATGTTTATAAGGAACAGTAGCTTTCTTTGAATTTCTTCATTTCTTCTTAAGCAAATTTTTGAACCAGTGTGCTGAGAGTTTTGGGTGTCTTTTCAGCCCATCGTTATATCCACGTAGTTTAAACCAAATCGGACAGTGTATCCAGAACTCCATTCAAAGTCGTCTAACAATGTCCATGGAAACTATCCCTTCACTTTCGCGCCATTTCTGCACACACACACACAAATGTTCAAATGAGTTAGGTCAATATAATGATTAAATAACCATAACATAAGAAGGCTAGGTAGTATATGGCCTTAATCATTTTGTTAATAACTACTTACTTGATCGCCACTTGAAGGTAACACAGGTGACGATGGTAGTAGTCAATTCTATTGGTATCATGAAGGGCCTCTTCAAGTGATAGTTTTGGATTATTCAACTCTGATACACCTACGTACATATTATTCCACAAAAAAATTAAATTTAGTTTCTTCCTCTAAAACTAAAAGAAAACGTGTAGTTTCATTTTACACCACTATAAATATGCGAAACTTTTGCAATTAATCAAGGCTTAAAAGTATGTATTACATACCACTCTCAGTAATATAAATGAGTGGATCATTTTATTTTTCCTTTGTGTAGAGCACAAGATCGTGAATTCCTTTTGGATATACATATAACCAATCTGAAGCAGCCTGCAACACCATTTGAACATAATACGTAAATGTTGGGGAAAAAAACTACTCCTCCTAATGCAAATTGCTCAAAATGATAAATTTGATATTTACCTGTGGACCAATAAGTACTCTATTAAGCTCAGCTGCCACAATATTTAAAAGCATTAGAATACAATTGGTGTAAATATTAGAATATAATTAAAGTAATTAAGAAGTTAAACTAGGGCAAGAAGTACAAAGAACTTAAGCTATTCAAACTAAGTTTCCTTTTGCACTAACTTGTAAGATCAGCTAGAGGATCTGTTACGTAGCTTGCCGGTAGTGAATTGTTCTTAGGTGCACTACTTAAGCTATACAATAAAGAGTACTGCTAGCTAGGTAGGATCAATGTTTCAATTCATAAGAAAACATGTAATTGGGTTGATATATAATTTAATAAGACACTTGCCATCCAAACATAAAATCCAAAGATCGTAAGGCAGCATCTTTATTCTAATAAATTATTATATTCTTTTGATCCTAAAATATGTTCTACTCCTATTTCTAAAATTAAAATTTTCATTTCTTCATCTGAAATTCTATGTAGTCCTAAATCATATGTTTTATATTTTTCTAAATATTGTTTATCATCTAAATGATCCATATCTTCTATAAGCTTATCTACAATATGATCAAAAAATTTCTCAACTAAATTAATATCTAAATCATCAAAAGCCATATGTATACCATCATTTTCGATTTCACTCTCATTCTCTTCTATTTTTTTTTAGCTTCTTGTAATTACTAAACCTAATTGTTGCTTGACCTATACTAGTTTCGTATATTTGTACTTTATCTGGTTGTCTATTTCTTGCTACTTGTAAATTGCGTAACGTCCACTAAGTTCATTCTAAAAAGCTATTATCTACCGGTTCTGCTTTTATCATATTTACATGTTTACTATCAAATGTTTGAACTAAATTTTGAAACTCTAAATTAAATTTATGATTATATTTATTAGACACTTTACCAATATACATTAAGCTAATACACAAATTTTTATACTCTCATTTCATATTGTAATTTTTTGTTCTTATGCTCACTTTAATATATTTACTAAATTCATTAATTGTCATAACATAATTTGGAATACAACCTATGACTGCTAAGTTTGAACTTAAATCTACTTCAGCTGTTGCTATTGTTGCTTGTTGGTGATTATCCCATCTATCATCATATATGTATACTAATACTTTTGTGCCTACTTGTGCTCTGGTCAATCATGTTATTCCAATTAATATTGTTCCTATATGTATCTGACTAAAATGTGATTTTCTCAAATGAGTAACTACTTCTTTACTAATTAAATTAAGTGTAACTTCTTTATCAATACAACTAACTTCATGTTGACTGATGCTACTTATAATTCTACTTATGTTTTCAAATAAACCTAATTGATACAAGTTATATTTATTTTTCTGTGTTCTCTTAAAACCTCTTCGAATAAATTCTTGTGCTTCTTCATTTGGATAAATATCTTTAGCTCTAACTACTTCTTTTCCTTATTTTCCTAAAGAGTTCCATTTTCTATTATCAAAAGGATTTAGCTTAGGTCTTCTAATATTACTATTTGCACTTAAAGTTAAAATTTCTAATTTATCTAGCAAAGATGGTGGAAATGATGAAGATATGTTATGTAAAACTTGGTTTATTTCTGCTATTTGTTTTTCAACTTGATCTAATTTTTCAGCCAAACTTAAAACTAATTGAATAATTAAATTATTTTTCCTAATGGGAATATTACTAATGGCTACTTGTGTTGAAAAATCTGTTAAATCTACTAGTTCTTTATCTAGCTTACTAATTTCTTTCAAAGCTTGGATATATTTTCTGCTAGTTCTAGAATCGGTCATTAAACTAATAACTTATCTATTTTATTATGCAACTTATCTATTTGTTCACTCAACTCTTTTTGCATTAATTGAATTTTTTGAACTTCTAATTTTAACTGCTCAACTATTTCTAGTGATCTAAGTTCTACTTGCTTAGGCTTACTATCTATGAGGTCAATAAGTTCTTTTATCTCTGCTTAGTATGGTGTTCAGGTGTTGGTATGTTGAGGGGTTGAGAGGATGGTATGGTGTTTCTCTGCTGTGTTGTTTTTCCGTGTTCTGCATGGGAGGAAAAGCTCTCTTATATACAAAACCTAGTCCCTAAACAACAAAATAATTTTTCAACTATTTACAACTTTTTTGAATAGTGCAAATACACTGTTTCCGAAAGCTGTCAACACTATTTCGAAAAGCTGATTGACTTGTCCTTGCTTTAATGAAGGTCATGTGAATCCATGTTGGCTTGGCTGCTGCATGCTTTGCCACCTTATCTTTTGCATTTAAATGTTATTTGAAAGTGTCAATCCTCCTTTTTCCTCTTTTGGATGTATTCTTTGGTGAAGACCACATGAACTTTGCAGAAGACTGGGCCAATTTTGTATAGATTTTTGAAAGGTAGCATCGTCATTTTTGAAAAATTTTGTCCTAATGATTAAAAGGAAACTTTTTTTGGGGCTTTTGTTTAGTTTTCCCTTCTTTTAAACTACAGACCATGACTTGGACTTTAAACTAGGATGTTCAAAGCCAATTTTCTTTTCAAATTTTAACCCTTTACTATTCTCATGAGCAAGTATGTAGACACCATATCCCTTCCTCCCTTCCTCTATATATATATATATATATATATATATATATAAACCCCATGCATTATATATTCCACTATATATATATATATATATATAAACCCCATGCAATATATATTCCAGGAAGAAACAACTTAATTATCTCGATCGATATCAAAACTCCCAAGTTATGGCAATGAAATATTCACGATCTTTGCTCTCTAGTGTGCTGCTACGCATTGGCTTTGCATTGACAAATAGCAAAGATGCTAATATGGATCCACCTGTTCATTACAAATTTCTCAATCGCAGCAGTTTTGAACCAGGGTTCATATTTGGCACAAGTGATGCGTCTTACCCAAGGTTCTAAAAAACGCTAGGCTCTAGTTGGGCGGTCGGCTGGCGCCTAGCGCCTAGGCGGCTAGGCGGATTTAGGTAATTTTCTTGTATATCTTGTAAATAAGTGCATATTGACACTTACAAAAAATTATACTTGTATGAAATCCATGGATAAAATAATAAAAAAATGATAAAATGCAAAAAGAGTATCCAACAAGTCCAAAATTTAAAAACACATTAAGCATATATGCCATATAACCATAGTGAGGAGTATTAAATGTACAACAAGTTCACAATTTTAAACCACTTAGACTTAGATAGGATTATTTTATTTTATTTTTTAATTTCATTAAAAAAAAAACTGCCTAGCCCTGCCTAGAGCCGATCCGATTTTTCCAACCGATTTGCAAGAAAATGCATCGGCTCACCACCGCCTAGCGCATAGGCGCCGCCTAGGCCGTTTTTTTAGAACAATGGTCTTACCAAGTCAGTATATATATATATATATATATATATATATATATATATATATATATATATATATATATATATATATAGTATGGAATTGGATTATTATCATCAGAACCATAGCAAATTTGAAACCAATTATGATAAACAAATAAGAAAAATTCAATGAATGATTGATCGGTATTTACCTTGAATATGAGATAATCAATGAACTGATTGTGAGTAAGAATTTTGTGCCATTCAAAATCAGTAGTTATGAAAAAATTCTTCATAATGAATTTAATGAATTAAAATTAATGATGCAAGTATAGATTTGAAAATAATTTTATTTCAAATTGAAAACCAACTTACAATTTCATTTATTGACGATTGATAGAGAAAACAGTGGTGCGCACAGACATCCTTGATTGAAAATTAAAATACAAGTGTTTGATATTTTGCTGGATGTGGGATGGAGCTGAAAAATAACTTTTGTTTTTCAAAGAATTCACAGAAGTCTCAGCTATTTGACTAGAGTCCCCTTCTTCTGTGAATTAGCTCTTCTTTTGTAGGAAGAGATCTGATAATTGAGATTCGGGAATCCTGCTCCTGTCTGTCGTTTGCATGTGCCAAAGGCTGTAAATTTTGGCGAATGATTATGCCTTTACTGTGGATTCACGCTGCTGCTGTCTAGAATGATGGGTGAATAGTAAAAAGTGATTTTTACTATTCATGAATAGTGTTCTATCGGAATGATTGTTGCTACTGCTGATGCTGCTTTTTCTGTGAAAATCACATGGCTTCTACTGTAGGATTTACATGGGTAAAAACTCAAAATGATTACAAATCATTACATTTTGAATTTTTACAAATTAAACAGATCTTGGGTATCTTGGTAATCTGTCCACTTGGCTAGTTGAGACGAAGCGTCCGATGAGTCTAAACTTGAATCTTCATCTTCACTGCACAGTAAAGCCGCTTCTACTATAAGCTTATCTGCCATTTTCAATAATTGTAAAGATTTCCCTTTCTTCTTTAAACTTGATGTCTTGGAAGACTTGGATGATTTATGTTGTTTTCCTTTGAAAGACGATGAAGGACTAATGTCTGATAGAGACTGGGTATTTTATGAGATTTCTGGCAATGCCTGTGTTGATGTTGTTGGTTGAGATACCATTGGAACATATTCAATTGGAAATTCCGATGAGACTAAACTGATAATTTTTCCGTAATCGAATTTGTCCCACCATTTAACCCACCAGGCTCTATAAATTTGACTTGTTTCATATTCATAGTTCCATTTAAAAATCCAAGGGACCTTGTATTTTTCCATGAACAATGAAAGAAGAGTGATTCTGTCGTCGAAATGGCTTCTGTCAAAATGCTTCTGGAAACCAGATGAAATAAATTGCATGAGATCTTCTGGTAGTAAACTAGCTGTTGGGCCGTGTGCTGACCACCAATTTGGAAATCAAGCTAGGAAGTTTAACCTAAAACTTTTATCAAATGTAACGAACCAAGAGTGACTAAAGTCAGGTGTTTGGTGAAGAAATATGTTAGTCCATGCTTAAATGTAGTCAAAATAACTATACTTGTTGTTTGGGATGATATCATTTTTGGTATGAAGTTGTTTGGTATGATAAAGGGGGATTCCCCATTCTTGTTCGATAAGAAATCTTCCAATATGGAGGGAATGGTAAAGGATTT